TATATATATATATATATACCTAGAATATGAGAAAAAAAAATAAAACACATTTCTTAATAAATCTCAAAAAGATTTAATAATATAATTTTTAATATAAATTAATTTCTCAACAGGATTTTATCGCGTTAATTATGATGATTCAAATTGGCGAAAAATTGCAAACTACCTCAACTCTGACAATTATACAAAAATACATGTACTTAATCGAGCTCAAATCATTGATGACTCCTATCATTTTATGATCGCAGATCAACTTGATATCGAGATATTTCTAGATCTTGCAAATTATCTATCTCGAGAGACCGATTTTATAGTATTATATCATATGTTTAACTTTTTTGAAATGTATGCGGAAAAAGTTTACAAAATTTTAGAAATTGATTATATCAAGGTAACATTATTACATTTAATAATAAAAACCATTTACACTTAATATTTAATTTAGCAGAGTAGAAAGACTATTAAATTAATTTTGTTTATAATCCTACATAGCAATACATACTACGTATTTTGGATGAGCTTATTAAAAATGTAGGATACGATGAAGATCCTGCTGAAAATGAACTTATAAAACTTACAAGAGTCAATACCTTAAAATGGGCATGTTATTTTAATCACTCCGAGTGCAAGAGAATAGCCACTATTAAATTAAATGAAGTTCTTGCAAACCCTGAAACATACAGGTAATTTTATTGAAATAAAGTTCTTAATGTGCGACGCAGAATAATAAATAATAATAAATTCTTATTTATTTGTTACATAAAAAGTTACAGACTAATCTTTTTATTTAAAAAAATAGAATATCCACAAACTTAAAAGAATGGATTTATTGTAATGGTATGATGCAAGCCAATAAAACTACTTGGAATAAATTAAGGGATACATATTTCATTAACCATGACGAAAATATATTAGATTACTTGACTTGCTCTGAAGATCCTGATATTCTGATTAATTTTATAAATACAAGTGTCTCGAATGAAATAAACAATCATTTACAAAACAATCATTACTATAATATTATTCAAAATATTATTCAGGAACATTCAGACAACGATGCGGTACTCAACTATATATTAATAAATTTAGAAAAAATTAGCCCTAGGTAACAATATTTTTTACTAATTATAAACATTATATTTTTATTTACTAATTATAAATCTTTCATAAATTCTTTTATAGAGAAATCTCAAAACGAAAAATGTTAATGGCTATTATTTTTAGCGTACATTCTAATGAACGACTTGACAAGGTAATTTTATTATCTTAGGTGCATGTCATATCTTTACTTAATTATAATTGAATTTATTTTTATTTATTTTTATTGTATCAATAATTAAACTATACAAACTAAATTTAGACGTTATATCATATTAAAGTAATATATAT